AGCAGGAAGCAATGATAACAGGACGAATGAGTGCAGTGTGGGAGGACTCTGGACAGCTAACAGATGGTATTTAAATCAGCAAAATCCCTTACTCTTAAAGCATTTCTCATACTTCATCACAGCACAAGACAATTTTCTTTTAAGGAATAAAGGTAGACCAAAGAATGACTCACAGAACCAAACACAATGGGAGGATGGTTTGAAATCAGCAGCATTCACTCTGATTCAAGCATTCAACTATATTTGATCTGCATATTATACCGACACTAAAGCACCAAACCAGATTAAAGGCAGTTAATTGAGCATGGAAAAAAACATTGAATTTGCTGAATCATAAAATTCTCTCTGTGAAAGAGCATTCTGATATAAACTGGATTTCCTACTACAGATGTAAAATCTAATTATATTGGCTTATTATGCATCTTACAAGGATGCATGAACGAAACCCACAATGGATACAAACCCATTTTATTTCGGGAGCCAGGGCACAGAGACCCCTACAAGAAGGAAGTCCCTTTCTCATATTATTACCTGGCTAATTCCTATTGCATCTCTTACTGCCACTGAAAAAAGCAAAGTGACACTATACCTGCAAATCCTTTAGATGCTATTAGAAGCTCATGTAATTAATGAGACCACTGGGAAATATTGCTGTGTTAAGACCTGTATTTTGGAATCTGGCCAAAATCAACTGTTTTAAATAATCATCATCAACTTAATTGAGGAAAAGATGCTCATAAACTGGAGTGAGAAGCCTTCAAACAGAAGGGGATGCCTGTGATTCTCACAACAGTTACTGTGCTATGTCTCATCAGCAAAAAGCTCAGGAAAGGGTGGGAATGCAATTGTAACACTACCTGGGTATAAAAAAGTGTAAACAGATTTTTATAGCACAAATGATAAGTCAGGACTTAAGTAAAAAGTCAAAAAGCCTGAGGACACCTTTTATTCTTTTTCTAGAAAAGAAAGTAACTTTGGGTGCAACAAAATCCAAGTTCTTTAATAATAGTTATTACAGTTCTCACAGAAAGGATTTTCTGTGCCCAGGAATTTCTGGGCTTCTTTCACAACTGATTAAAGAGTTTATGGAAACATCCCCCTGCCCTGCACATGAACCAAAACACCAGGAATAGGAAAACCTTGATGCTGTTTCCTGCTTCCAAGAGAAAAGCAGCACACTTATCACTGAGCATCCTTCAGCTCAGGAAAATAAGGCCTCAGGATATCAAAGAGGGCACTTGGAATAGCCCAGGAGTCCCACTAGTTTGGCTTTTATGCCTTAGGTCAGCTCAGTCAGGCATGCAGGAACTTCTTAGGCTGCAGAATGATGGGTTTCTGGAAAACTATAACCTACTCAGGCCTTTCACTGGTGAAATTAGAATATGTTCATCCACACAAAGACCATTTTCTCTCACATCTCCTGCAGTACATGCTACTTTGCTATGGCGAGCTGTGACCTCCTCATGCTCCTGGATGTGTTCTGGCTACATCACACTACAAGCCTTCTACCTTTCAGAGAAGCTGCAGAGGTAGCAGCACTTAGGAGAAGGAAAGTTGTAGTATTTCTGCTGCAACTGGCTCCTCCTCATTTTCAAAGCATGACAAACGTAACGGTACCCTGCTCTTTCCACATCATTAGAGCCCAGCGGAACATATCTGAAAGCAGCCAAGCAGCAAACCTACCAGGAGAGCTCAGCCTGCTACACTCAGTGCTTTGTTCACAGCTGGGAAAGCTATTGCACATGCATGTGCAGAGGCAGGATGCCTTTTCCTGCTCTTATTTACGCCAGCTGGCACCACAGTGCCCTCAGGAGCAGTGTTTTGATATCCCCATTTTATATTATAGTTGATAAAGCAAAAATCCCCACTTTTTCTACCAAACTGCACCATGGACAAGACTCCTGGACTGGCACAGGTAATGTTTTCAGCCAACATCCACTGGTTTTGTGGTCTAAGGTGTAGGAATGGGAAGCACCAAGACAGAATAAGCTCATGGAATAGAGTTTGAATTACCAAAGAAAACGATTCTTGTTTCTCAAAATTAACCTTTAAGAGAGACAGTCTAATTGGCTTTGCTAGAAGTTGACCATACATCAAGAAACAAGATGACATTAGTTTTCTCCTCTCATTAGAGACAGTAGAGACAGTTAGTGTTACTAACGACATCCTCTCAGTGGGAGAATTCCTTTCATTGCTGTTCCAAGGAGCAAACAGACCCATCAGTTGTCAGTGTAAGGCCAAGAGCAGTGACAAGATGTGTGCTCTTGGGAAGTGTGAAGATAAAAGTTACAATCTCAGCAGCAGCATTAAAAATAGAACCTAGGTTTGTGTTTCTTAAACTTTAGAGGCAGAAACAAGAATCATCCAATGGTATTCCCAATATCTATCAAATATGATCATTGAGATAAATTTTCACACACACAATCTGAGAAGGAGAATTATAGCTAAGAATTTACATGGTTTTTATGTCTTAAACACGACACAAACATGCACTGAGGAGCTCCAGCCCATGGGACCTGGAGCTAGCAGAGACTCTGCATGGCAGCTCTGCAGCCAGCGGTGGTGCTCAGAGCAGCAGGGCAGGCTGCAAGAAGCCCATGCTCCTGGGTTTCTGTTTCATAAGTTGTGGTTTTGCCTCTGGAACTTCCAACCAGACACATTTTCCACATGCAATTAAGTAATGGTGAGTGAGTTGTGGGACGTGACGTTTAATTTTCAACGGCTGGAGAAAGTAACACAGGAGCTGCAGGCAAGATCATTAATCTCCTCCAGATCCTCTGAGCTGCCAAGGATAGCAACTCATTCCTCACTGTGCTAATGCTGCTCTTCCATCATTTCTGTGTATGCTGTACCAGGCAGAGCCATGCCAGTAAATGTACACATTTATATGCATTCACCCACAGATTATTACATTGTTCACAGGCAAAGATGTGTATGAGTGAAGAATATAAAACAGTATCAAGTATGATGTATATGCTGGTAGGAAGACCACACTATAAAATGGCATGGGGGTAAGTGCCCAACAAAAGTCACAGCTGGAATTTATTCCTAAATACACATTAATGAAATTCCAGTGTATTAAAGCATATATGAGTCCTAGGAAAGAGGCAGCTTCTTCCCAGAGCTCCTGCCCAGGGTCATAAGAGCAACACTTCCTGAACTACTGAGTGAATGTATGCAGGTGTCTTTAATTCGCATACAAAGAGGAAAACTTTTCATGCTTGGAGCAAAATAAAAATGCCCACATGTCATTTTTATGCAGATGAAAGGTTGTTTTAGCATATTCCCTCCCACACAATTCATCTCAGTGCTCCTTGGCGAAGCCAGGCTTCCCCTCCGTACAAACAAACCCTAGCTCACTTTTAAAATCCTCTTTTGATGCCTACGCAAAGCTATCCTTCACACTTCCACCCAGCCCATGCTCCATGTGTTCCATCCATGCTTGCCTGCTGCTCTCCCAGCAGTTCACTCTCCAGCCCCAAGCACCATTTTCACTCCCTCCCGGCAGTCTGGCTGAGCAAGCTGCCCACTCCAACTCTGTGCTGCACCAACCTAAAGCATTTGGAGAAGTTGTGGGAGAAGCAGCTCTTATCAGGGTGCTCTCAAACTCAAGAGGAATAGCTTGAGTCTTGAGCAGATGCCTCTAAAATAAGCACTCAATTACATTAGATTAATCCTTTTTACATTATTAAGGAGAACTCTACTGTTCCAAAAAGAATAGTCAAGGAAAAGGTTTATTCCACTTCAAAGAGAACTGAGCAAGTTCAGCATTTGCAAAACAGGCTAAATATGTAAATATGTCATGCAATAGGCTAAAGTACAACAAATGTCTTGGTGAGAGCTGTTCTTACCTTATGAAAACCAGCTTGACCTTTGATGGGGCAGTTTTAATGATGGCAGAAGCATTCTGATGGCTTCTTCCATACAGTATCTGATTGTTTATCTGTTAAAAGAAAATGATTTTCATGTAAGTGGAGAAGTATGCCTTGTTTTAATTTATACCACCAAGGCTTCCAAGTTTGCTGTGGGATAAGGAGATACGACTCAAAGAAAATCTAGATCTATATAAAACAGGAAATAATGCAGAGCTAATTTACTGTTATTCGGAAGCCACAAGTGAGAGAAATCTTTCATAGATCCCTAGAATTGTAAGATTTCCCAGATTTGTGGAAAACAACTTGATCTGAGAAGAATCCTATAGAAAAGATTGCAGCAGAGTTTCTGAGACAGACACTTCTCTACCTTACCTGCAGACAACTGGCATTTAAAAAAACTTAGGCTATTAAGACTCTGCTGACTTCTCAGTTCTGCTGAAGGAAACAGAACTAATAGTCGTGGAGACAAAGGACCATTTAAGGACATCCCACATCAGTTTTGCTGTAATGGATCTAACACCTAAACACAGAAACAGACCCCAAGTACAACTTTGAACACTTTTACTGTGTGCAAGCAAATGCTGCAGTTTTCAGAGGGAAACAGCTTGGCTATGAACATGAGCCAGAGAGTGCCCAGGTGGCCAAGAAGGCCAATGGTATCTTGGTTTGTGTCAGCAGGCCAGTGACTGTCCCCCTGTGCTGGGCACTGGTGAAGCATCTCCTATCCTGGGGTCAGTTTTGAGCACCTCACAACAAGAAAGACATTAATAGGCTGGAGCATGTCCAGGGAAGAGAGATGGGAATGGAGCTGGGGAAGGGGCTGGAGCACCAGGAGAGGCTGAGGGAGCTGTGGGGGCTCAGCCTGGAGAAAAGAAGGCTCAGGGGAACCTTCTGCTCTCTCCAACTCCCTGCCAGGAGGTGCAGTCAGGTGGGGTCAGGCTCTGCTCCCAGGGAACAAGGGACAGGATGAGAGGAAACAGCCTCAAGCTGTGCCAGGGGAGGTTTAAATTGGATATTACGGAAAATTTCTTCATGGAAAGGCTTGTCAAACCCAGACACAGCTGCCCAGGGCAGTGGTGTCACCATCCCTGAAGGGATTTAAAACCTTTACAGATGTGGCACTTGGGGACATGGCTAGTGGTGGCCTTGGCAGTGTTGGGTGAACAGTTGGACTTGATGATTTTAGAGGGCTTTTCCAACCTAAACAATTCTATGATTCAATACTCCAATTTTTTCCTCCCACTCCTAATTTACAACATAATATTTACATTCTCATTTGATATACCAATGCTGTTTAAAACAATAACGATAACGGAGCCCAGGAACAATTTACTAGTGATTATAGAAGGAATTTTTGTTACTGCAAATGTTTGTATTGGATTTGGGGTTTGTGTTCTTAGAAGATTTTTTTCATTCAAACAAGAAGTAACTGGCCAAGTCTTCCAGCCTTGTGTGATATGGGCTAGTTAGTCATATTGGGAACAATACTCCTGTCTTATTTCTGCGGGTCAAAGCAAAATACAAGTTCATCAGCTAAATAAGGACAATTCAAGGGCAAGAATAAACCCTCTAACACTTGATTACTCATTGAGATTGAAGTGCAAACCATCTACCTACCAAGTCATTTACTGTACAAAGAGGGACCCAAGAAAGGCCTGCCAGGGTCTGAGCTGGCATGAAATGATCAGCACTGAGGAAATAACACCACATGAACACTCCTAAGGGTTTAATATGGTTCTGTCTGCAACTGTCATGGTGGCAAGGACAGGGTGAGATGCAACACCCTAGGCCACACTTCATTAATCAAAGATAAATTTCAAAATCCAGTGAGAAAACATGAATGCTCAGTTGCATTCTGGCTTCAAGCTTGACTCGAAACTTTCAGTGAGTTTGTTGACTTAATTTCTCTAAGTTCAAGAATAAATTATTCCCTGGGAATACTGTATGCTCTACAAATTGTTTGGATTTAGTTAAATTACCATCAATTTTTCTAAACAGCAGACTTCTTAGATTAAAATTTATAGTCTTTACTCTGCCTAGATTAATCCTATTCACTACATGTATCAAATAGTCCCAAATTTAATTAGCTGTGAGCTGGGTCTGTAAGTTCTAATTATTTAATTACACCAAAATGAAAGTATAATCAAAGTAATATATCTCCACAAGGTTTTGGAGTGTCCCACATAGTTATTAAAGACAGTATTAATTTTTCTTATTTAAAAAAAAGGTCACTTTCTTTAGCAAAGTAAATTAATGTTCTGTTAGCTGCAGATACCACAGTGATGAGCAAAGCACAAAAGCCTACTTAAATAAAACAAGAAGGAGAACATCTAGGATTTCAGCAGAAACACCATTTTAAATCTTTCAAACTAAATAAAGTAATACATCAGATTAACCAAATATTACTTTGGGAGTCAAAACCTATAAATCTGTGCTTTACTTTTTTCAATAGAGATTAGAAAAAGAAAAACAAAGCCGGGACTAAGCAAAAGAAATCAACTGATCTAAATCAACCTCAAGTCTTCTTTAAATGTCTCTTTCCATAACTCCTTGGAAAGTCAGCAGAGCACAGAGAAAGATAAAAACATGCTACAGGTATGAGGTCAGGTCAGCACACAAGTTCAGTCTTTACTATAATCACACATTGCTTTATAGCAGATTGAATCACATATCCCAAATGTTCTGTTGCCTTCACCTACAAAACCTTTGGTTTACAGTTTCATTCACTGAAGTAGCAGAAAGTACAAACTCACTGAAATCTGAACTCTTAAATTAAGAGGGGAAAAAATTTAAAGGACTGTTTGCTTCCCAAACTTTAATTTGCAGAAGAGAAACATTAGATATGGATATTTTTTAAAAAAAAAAGAACACTGTTTTTACTACATGGCAGTAATGGAAATCCATAAAATTAGCATCATCTGATTTTTATGAAAATCATGTTAAATGATACCTCAAAGCTAGTAAAAGAACTGGCATAGCTTTCTGTAATAATTATTTCTTTGTACCAATGCATCGGGTTCCTTCTAACCACAGGAATTGTAGCATTTCAGGATACAACCAGACTCTGAAACAATGGGAAAAGTTTCAAAAACATTTTTATCAGTCCAATTTTATATACTGAAACCCCATAAAATACACCAAGTTCCCAAATAATAAAGCATGAGGAAAACATTGGAGAGAAAAAATAATTAAGAATGTGAATTTCCCTTTCATCACCAAATTTCTTGCTGGGCACATGTTCAAACATGTGCATCATCTAAAGTGATCAACAGACCGTAAACTCCACAAGGACAGAAAATCTCCTGCCCTGAGCTGGCAGCTGATCCCTGTGGTTCCCACCTAGGGAGTGTGGAGGAGGCTGGAAAAGCACAGATTGCCTGTGCCCTCCTGCACAACAACTTCCCCATCACAGCTCTACTTATTTGCAGCTTTAAAATCACCATCCAAAACTAACCATAGCTGGTCAACTTTGTACACTATGTGTAGGAATCCAGAATCATAGAATTTTAGGGGCTGAAACGGACCGTGGAGATCATCCAGCCCCAACCCCCTGCCCTGGGCAGGGACACCTCTCACCAGAGCAGGTTGCTCAAGGCTTCATCCAGCCTGGCTTTGAACACTGCCAGGGTTGGGGCAGCCACAGCCTCCCTGGGCAACCTGTGCCAGTGTCTCACCACCCTCACAGGGAAAACTTCTTCCTGATATCTAGCCTAAATTACCCCTCTTTCAATCTGAATTCACTAGAACCCCCTGCCCTGGGCAGGGACACCTCTCACCAGAGCAGGTTGCTCAAGGCTTCATCCAGCCTGGCTTTGAACACTGCCAGGGTTGGGGCAGCCACAGCCTCCCTGGGCAACCTGTGCCAGTGTCTCACCACCCTCACAGGGAAAACTTCTTCCTGATATCTAGCCTAAATTACCCCTCTTTCAATCTGAATTCACTAGCCCTTGTCATGTCACTGCAGTTCCTAACCAAGAGTTCCTCTGCAGCTTCCCTGGAGCCCCTTCAGATCTTGGCAGGTTGCTCTGAAGTCTCCACACAATCTTCTGTTCTCCAGGGTGAACAGCCCCAACTTCCTCAGCCTGACTTCACAGTGGAGATGCTCCACTGTGGCTCCAACCAGCAACACTGTGGCCTCCTCTGGACTTGCTCCAACAGTTCCATGTCCTTCTTACATTGAGGGCACCAGAACTGCACGCAGTATAGCAGGTGGGGTCTCACGAGAGCAGAGTAGAAGAGGAGAATCACCTCCCTTGACCGGCTGCTACACTCCAGTGGATGCAACCCAGGATCCAATTTAGTACTTTTGTACACTACAAAGCACATTACAAAAGCATTTGTTTCCTCCTTTGAAAAGACCAAAAGGACACTGGAACAGGTTGTGCCCCATCCCTGGAGGTGTTCAAGACCAGGCTGGACAGGGCTTGGAACAACCTGGGCTAGTGGAAGGTGTCCCTGTCCATGGCATGGGGTGGAACTAGGTGAGATTTAAGGTCTCCTTCCAACCCAAACCAGTCTGTGATGTTACTCTATGATTCTGTAACGATCCCACAACAAAAAAACCTGAGAATAAAATGCCACTCTCCCACATTTTAAAACAGAAGTGGCATTGTGAATTTGGCTGGGTAGCTCATTTACTTGGGCAGAATACTGCTGTATCTATTATATTATCACAGCATAACTTCTATTTATCTAAGCATCTCAAAATAAAATAGCAATAAAAATGCATTTAGCACAAGAGCTCTCTGGCTTTGAGCTATGACAAAAATGGCATAAAGAATGAAAAGATAATAACTGCCTCTCAGGCAACAATCCAGAGTGAACAACAGACAAACGTACAGTGATTCTTGACTCTGAAGACTGGTTTTTACTCTTTCAAGAAGTGTTGTGGTCTTCTAGAACAAAACACAGAATCCCACAATGGTTTAGGTTGGAAGGGAACTTAAAGATCATCTCATTCCAACCACTCCGCCATGGGCAGGGAAACTTCCACATCCAAACAGGCAGTTTCCTTCCACCTCCTGCCCCATCTGCAGGAAGATGAGCAGGGATGGGGAGATGAACATCCCAACATCAGTAATTTAGCATAACGGGGCTCTGAACAGCCTGGTTCATTAACAGAACACAGTTGACTCTCTTATGGAGAGATGATAATAATAATAATAGCAGGGTGGATTATTCAGTGTGAATAAATTCTACCAACAGGACAGACCCATGCAGAGCTCAGGAGCAGCAGGGCTCAACAGCACAGGTACAGCTCCGGGTGAACACGCTGTGGGCCATGCTGGGCACAATCAGCCACAGGACTGAGCCCAGGCTAATAAGACACGAAGCAGTGCAGACACCTGCACTAAAACAGCAAGAGTTCAAGGCAGGAGCACCACAGATGGTTCCTTTGCTTGGAAAAAAGAAGGGAAAAGAAGAACTTGTGTCCTGTAAAAAATAAATTCTTCTGCACAAGGGACCAAATTCTGACCCAAGTAGTTTTCCTTTATGTATGAAAGTAGGATGAAAGGATCTTCTCCCTCAAAAAGCTGTTTTCTCCAGCCACATACCCATCCAAAATATATCACCAGAGGGGGATTAAAAAGTAATGATTATATGTAATTTTTTCTGTGACCTGCATTTCCCTTGATACACAGGTTGTGAAAACAAGCCAGGATCATGCCTCCAAAGGACTAGTGCTGTTTGCAGAAGCTAAAAGTTAGATGATACTTCATTAATTCAGTGACAGAAGATTTTATGAATAAGGCACTGAGGCAGTCTGGCAGCATCCCATATCTTTCAATTGAATCCAATCAAACTCCAGTTCAAAAGAAAAATGAACCGGTAATATCCATCTATCCATATCTCCATCCCATTAACCTTAACTCCATCAAAAGCCACAGGGAATAATCTGCCCACAGGCAGCAGGATCCACCGTGGATGAATGGAGCAAGACTAACCAACAGGATTCACCAGGGCACCCCAGGAAAGTGCAGAAATGCCAGGGGCTTTCCAAGATGTGAATCCCTTCTCTTGCTGGTATGTTCCAGCATTCAAAGCTGATGTGTAACCAAAGATGCATAAGCAAATATACTTAAAACATGCAGTTAGATGAGAACCAAACATGAATTCTGTCATTTTCTCACTTTTGAACACCTTAATTTGAAGTTCTGCGCTTCTAAATCATTTTGCTGTAAGAGACACTGCAAGCAAAGCCAACTGACCACCTTGACCTCTGCATCCTTGGCATGGAAGTAGCATCAAATCATACTGGAGATATTCAAAAGACACCTGGACACAGTCCCAGGCAACTAGTTTGAAGTGGCCCTGCTTGGGCAAGGGGGTTGGACCAGATGACCTCTGGAGGTCCCTTCCAGGCCCAACCACTCTGTGATATTCCTGCCTCAGTGACCCATAGACCTCCTGGGTATGAGGATTCCTAATGGGTACCGTAATACTTATGGAACCTAACCCTGCCCATTAGTTCCATTCCAGTGCTATTTGCATCACACTGAAATGCTTTTAAAATACCAAAAAACCAGAGCTGTGAATAACTGACCACTGGTGTGAACACGAGATGTCTGTACATGACTACTGCAGGATGTCTGGACACTGGATACATACTCACAGGGGACCAGAATGAGATCAGCACATCCTTTCCTATAAAGGAATTGTACTTCTGCACACTGGTGGCACAATTTTGATTTGATTGCAAAGGTAAACAAGAGAGATAGTTACTAAAGTCTCTTTGAACTTCAGTTTATTTGAAGTTTGGCATTTTTGAGATGGAGAACCTCACTTTCCTGACACTGAATAAAAAAAAAATCATCATTTTATCTCCAGCTTAACAGGGAGAGGAATTAGGGCAACATCACCACTTTGGAAAATGCTCTTTACAACACGGCTCATCCATGCAAATCCCAAGCCTTGAGGAATATGTGATTAATCACAGATGGTGCATCTTTCAAGTACTGTTGGCAGTACTTTTCCTCTCCCAGGAACTACCTGTGATATGCACAGAGGAAAATAGTACATGAGTCCTTTCAACTGGTATACACTCAAAATTCAGTGATTTTCCTTTTTGTACCATTAGAATTCAGTGTCAGGGACAGAAAAACTCATAAATTTGAAGGAGAAAGTCATTTTCCTACCCTACTCCATTATGGTATAGACCTTCATAGCATTTGTCACACTTAAAATGAAAATAATAAACTTCAGATGGGGGTGTTTTTACAGCAAAACAAGTCTTGTACTCTGTGTACTGAAACCCCCTAATTACAGAACTGTTAGACAATGACAAATGCTTAGAAAATTCGGAGTACTCCCAAGGCATCCCCAGGCAAAGTCAAGAAATGAGGGGAAAAAAAATAGGTGGTTTTCTGATTGCACAGAGAGTTGCTGAAAGATCAAAGAAATACCACCCACGGAGAGCAGCAGGTCAGCATATCCCTGCTCTTCACTGAGAGCTTCTCTCTAAAGGGAAGATCCCTAGGGATGGATGATTTTTTTAAAACACTGAAGCAATCGTGACTTGGGGAATCACTGCAGGTACCGCAGCAAAGTGTCATTTTGCAACAGCCAGAAAAATCAGACGAAGTGTAGGAAAGCTGAGGTTTCAGTCTGAAGGTGAAGCATGGAGATGGGAGAAAAACTGAAGACAAAATACACCACTTGCTAACAAGCTCTCTTGGCTCGTGGGTGAACTCGTGCCAGACACAACGAAAGAAAATAAGTATTTTAAGTTACAACAGATCAAACCAGATTATAGCATGAAATTTATTTTCAGGAGAGGGAATATCCCTGTCATCTGTAAAAACACATATGGTAACGTTGAGGGGGTTTTGGTTTTTTTAATGTAAGGTGTGAATTTCCCTGTAAAACCACATATGCACTAGGAGGATAGATTTACTGTCCCCTTCCTGCCTTTCAACAGTCCCTCCCTACACAGAGCTTGTGAACATGCTGAGAGCACAGACTTCGCTGACAAGACATTAGTTTTCACAGGCCAATGATTTTTGTTTCACTGAAAACACATTTACCTGCCAAAGGCCAAGTTCTCAGTTGGCATAAATCAGCACAGCTCCTTGCTTCAGCCACCTAATTCCACTCGCAGGCTTTATTTAAGGTTCAAATGGTGGCTTCACATATGCCTCTCCCTCTCTCCACATGAGCCTTCCTTAGGACTTAAAGGAAAACACTTACTTCTAGAAGTTCATCACCAATATGCATCCTTCCGTCTCGTCCTGCAGGTCCATCTGGATTGATCCCAACCACAAAGATGCTCATACGAGAACGGTCCTTGTTGCCAGCGAGGCTGAGCCCCAGCCCATTTTTGTCTTTCTCAAGCTCAATAATGTGCAACTCTCCTGGGAGATCTGCATATCTTTGTCTGATTTTTTCTGGAAAGGTCAAACACAGAATGAGTTAGAACATAAAAGAGCTTACATGCAGATGTTGAAGGACCCATACAAATATGCCAAAAATTTATGGCTTCTCAGCAAATAAGTGTTTTGAACAGAGTTTGTTTTCAACACAGGCCCTAAAATACCATTTGCTGTGCCTGTATCACTCACACAGCAAAATGCAGCATCATCTGTGAATATTACTCACAGTAAACCCACACCAGATTAATTATTTGTACAACAGGCTGGTTCTAAACCAAAATTCTTCTGAAAGGAGAGTAAACAAGGAAATTCCAGAGGCACCTTTACCTCACAAAAACTATCCATTTCAGGAAACTCTCATAAAGTTCGAGCTGGTTAATTAACCACTGTGGGAAACTGAAGCACTTAACGGTTCAAACATTACTGCAGTCTCACATCTCAGGGTAAAACCTTTTGCTTCTTTCAGGTGACTCAGGAATCTGCTCACCATGCTCTGCTTAACACGACATGCTGCAGGTGATTACGCAGAGCAGATGTCAGTGACAATGTATAGGAGTGATTACACTTTTAAATGCAGCCTCACTTGATATTAGGGTGGTTATTTGTCTCCCATTGACATTTCAACCATTGCTGTGACAGAGCTCAATACATTTACACAGTTACTTGGAGCACACAGCGTGGCTGTGGATGCTGACAGTTTAATCTGAATGTCTTCTCACCACTGGCACAGAAACATCTATCACTACTGCTTGTGAGGGTGGTTTTTCTTTCTCTTTGCTTGTCCTTTGCAGATTTTAAAGCCAGTTTAAACCACCTCCTGGACCCAATGCTTCAGTTGAGCCACATATTTAAAAAAGCAAGACGAAGTATATTGCTGTGGCTGATGTCACCTTTAATACAGAGCTCAAGGTGAAAGAAACTGCTGCATTATGCATTAAAAGAAGAAATAAGGCATATTATATGTTCAACCATATCCCTGAGTCAGCAGCAGGAGCTAGATCAATATTAGCTACTACCATTCTCCTGGGGAAGCATATTTTAATAATATGATTTAACCACTGTAGTGAATGTTCCCATGACAACAAGAAAGAGGGAAAAGAGCTGTGGAAGGTGAGAGGGAGGCAACTAAACAGGAATAAAAAACTGCTGAGAAGAAAGATGATGAAGTAGAAGTGTTCCTTCCACAGTCCCTGTGCTGCCAGGGTGATTTAGCCAAACCTGGGTCATTCCCAGCATCTCTCCCCTCCACTGGTCCTTCTCGAGTTACTGTTCCAGCTGCAGCAGTCCCTTGTGCCTTGGCAAAGATGCTGGGACATGGGGAGCAGTCTCCCATCTCCAACCACAGATGCACCCAAGAGAATTACCTACACTCAGAGCAACACACACAAGAACCAGCTCTCCTGTCCCTGTATTTACAGGCTGGCATTTTCCTGCCACGCTCAAAATCCCCAGTGCCTGAGCCTAAAATCCTGGCGGTGTAAATTAAGGGTGAGATGTTATCCTTGGGAAGCTGTTAAAAGCCCTACAGAGGTCTGCACAAAACCAGAGTATCATAAAAAAATAGAAACCTCATTTGTTACTATCAATTATACACCAAAAATTCACACAACTGCATTAAATGGTAACCCATGTAGCTTCATAGTTCTTTGATGTATTTCATAATTAATGGGGTAAAAATGTGATTAGGGGTGTGATTTGCAACTTGAATTTGGAAAGTGTTTTTTCTTCTTAGTATGCAGGCTATCTCCTGATAAAAAGACCAGTAAGGGAGAAAAGGCCTCAAAAATGGTGCTTCTGAAAGCACGGGAGATACAGGCACACACACAGCCACACCAGGTTTATTCACACCACTGAGGTTTCCTGTTCTTTGCCCTCAAAACAAAGTTCTGAATAGCACTAAGACATTTGCCGCCCACCACAATCAGACAAATAACTCATTACAGTGCAGCAAGTAGCTGCAGCATATCCCAGACCAGGTCAGCAGCAGAAAAAGGTTTTCTTAATGATTGCATTTGTGTGGAAAGAATGCTGTTGACTGATCACTGCTCTGCCACAGTTCTTTCCACTGTACACAGATAACACCTCTCACTGTCATTTGCCAGGAGCAAGGAACATGTCTAAAGCATATTTTCAACAACTCCTAGTTGGATGCAGAGCTGAAGCAAGGAACACACACGATTAAATGTTGTACAGATGAACCTGCATATCTTCAGAGATTGCTTCAAAACACACTTCTTGCATGTCAGTAAAACTGCTTGAAATTCCCCAGCATGAACAGCCCGGTAACTGCACACATACACACACACGTTGCTCCAGCCTCTGCCTGCAGCCAAGCACCTCCAAGACTGCCAGTATCACTAAGTCTGTAATTCTGCAGTGTTTCCTCCCCAAAATGAGCTTTCTCACATGGGAAAAATGTTAGCAGTTCAGAAGTACATGTATATTCCTGTTCCATGCTGGGCTGAAACTAAAAGGAAGTTTTAGTCCACCAAAAATTAGAAGTTAGGGCAATTGCCTGGGATGAGATAGAGCTCCACTAACGTTTCTGGTCTGCCTGCATTGGACCAGGACTGGAAACCTGGTGAGTCGACTGCCAGCTGCACCATAATCCCCCACTGTGGGAACAAATCTTATCTGGGCAAAAAACAGAGACCAACTCCAGGGGTCATCAAATTGCTTTATTTATTAAGCGACTGGGTTGTTTTTTGGGTTCTTTTTAAAGAGGTTTTTTTCCCTGCTGCATTATTTGTTTGGAAAAGAAACCCCTTCCTTACCCAGAAGGAAGCCTCTGTGTGGACTAAGCCCTTCATTCTAAACGACCATAGTGATTTACGAAGCAACTATTTGAAATGGCTGAGGTGACTAAGTGGTAAAATAGTGGGAGAGCACAGAGGAAAGCCAAAAAGATGCTACGTGCTGAGCACCATTTCCAGCCCTGCAGGAGGACACGGCTCTCGGCGCTGCCGGAGAAAAGGCACAAGTGTGTGTACACGCTCATGCACGTAGGGACCAGCAGAGATGTCCCTGCCTTTAAAATCAAGCCTCCCTTAGCACATGCTGCCTCCTTCCTGGCCAACAGAAGGTTCTGGCTCTCTCCAGCCCCACCTCCTGCAATTAAACCCTGGAAGGGCTGTCCTCGCCAGCCTCCCATCGCAAATGAGAGTGTGCTATTCCCAGTGGTGTTGCTTTACTCATCCAGTCTGCATACAAATATCCTTTGGGCATCCAGCTGACTTCCTATAACATTGTCATCTTAGTCTCAGTTTGCCCCTTACTAAGAATCTCCTAAGATTATTTTAAACAAGTATTTACTGCTTAAACAAACGTGCATTCAAGGCATCGTCTTTTTAATGCCTTTTTCAGCTGGTTTTTTTTCCCCTCCAGCTGGTATCACTTTTCAGTTCTCTGCCTAGCGTTGGGGAGCCAGTTAGCATCTGCTTTTGCGAAGAATTCCATTATCTGCCTTCATTACCAGATACTTTACACAAGGCAATTGTAATTCTGTTGTTGCTGCATTACACATGGGACGTGGCGTTTCTTGTTTTGGCGTTTCTTGTTTTGGCACTACACGGAGCTGTTTCCACATTCGGTGACAATATGCCTATCACAACTTCTGCAAACATATCTCACCAAGGATATTTAACCACCTAATATTGCACCCAGTTTCTTTAAGAAAATATTACACAGATGTAATGTGAACTAAAAGCAAAAGTAAGTGCTTTAGGGATCCCTTCTGCAATAATATTTCCCTGTTATATTAGCAGACAATTACATTTCAAAGAGAAACCCTGGAAATGGAAGACAACTGCTTTCAAACAATATACTATTATGCTGCTGCATATGTTTCTCTGCCTCAGCCACTATTCCTATTATATTAAACAGAGAGATAAAAGAAATAAATGGGGACAATATGCTCAGGATATTGGAGTTTGCATGATGTAGTATTGCAACAAATACACAATTTATCTGCACAGCAAAACCAGACACCACTTCTCAGGAAGGCAAAAGGCTCTTTAAATTACAGATATATAAAGCACTTGTAAAGGGCTGTTTCCCAAACCTGCTGAAATCTCCAGTTAAATGAGCTGAAAGGGAAGAGGTGTTGCTTTGGAAAATGGGGTCTCTGTGTGATGCAAATGAAAGTCCATCTAGAAAGGTAAGAAGAAAAAAGAAAAAGCTCTGGATGACTCAGCTAGGTGATTGGGTTTGGTACCAAATGCTCAATATTAAAACTGTCAAGGCAGGATACAGAGGCAAAAAAGGGGGAAAAACACCACAAAGAGAGATGACAGCTGATATTTGTATCTAGAAGGTGATAGTGAGGATTTTACATCCCTCTCGCATCACCTCAGAGAACTATTAGCAACATATGCTGGCTTTTGGAGACTTTACAATGACCTCATTTATCAGCCCTTGCTCATTCTAATGGGTTTAGCTCCTATTTTTATCACATAGCACATAACATGGTTACAGCCCTGGCCCTTCCCGAGATTTCCCTGCTCAGACAGCAGAGCTGCAGCATCACAAACACTGCTCACTTAGCAATGATAGACATCAGAATGCAGGCAGCATCCACTGCACAGAGCCAACCTTGCATATCAAGCAACTAATTCCCTTCTTGATTTCACTATAAACATTATAAAAATAATGTAGGAAGTCCCTTGAAAGCTAACCCTGGAGCTGTGAGGGCAGCACATCTAATTTACTGATTACAATTTACAAGCACCTAAATAAGCATATTGAAGGGACCATAATTGAACAAATGGGGTTTAGAATTCTCCCACTACTAATAATATAATAAGCTTATTGTTTTAATCTTCCCACTAGCCCTCTACTCAGCTCCAAGGTGGCAGACAGTGCTTCAAATCTTATCTCAAAAGCGATGCACTCGTCTGTTTTCACAAGATTGAAACTGAAAAACAGAGATAATTTCTGTATGCTTTCTTAAATTCCATTAAATCACTCCAGTTCTTCTCTTGGTGATCAGCATGTATGAGAACATTAGGGCAGTTGTA